ACTTCAAGAGTGAAGGGGCTCAAGCGGTCCCATGTCCCCCGGGAGCACAGTCTAATGCATGTGATGTCAGGCACTGCCAGTGTCTGGCACAGAATAGCTGCTAGTCCAAGGCCTAAGGGTCAGATGAGGGGACTGACAAACCGCTGCTCTGTGTGCCTCTCTCATCCCACCTGTCTGCCCATCTATCTCTCACCCTTTGCCTAAGACACACCCTGGTGCCATGATGGCTGATTGAAGGTGCTGTACCACCAGCCGTCACACACCAGGCCATCATTGAGAGGCTCCAGAGTCCATGGGAAGCACTGATTGATAACTCTGCCATCTTGGGTGATGAGCTGCTGAGAGCTGGGCTGGGGGTGATGGTGAGTGGGATACAGATTCCCAGGTGTGCTGGGCCTTGGTCAGACCCCACATAGGAGAGCAGCAGGCTTTTCAGTGAGGTGGAGAGAGGTGTTAGACCTAAGACTGGGGACATTTGGAGAATTTTTGTAGCTGTGTCCAAGCATTTACATATATATATACTTTTTGAGACAGAGTCTCACTCTATCACCCTGGGGTTGAGTGCCATAGTATCATAGCTCACAGCCACTTCAAATTCTTGGGCTCAAGCAATCCTCCTGCCTTAGCCTCTGGAGTAGCTGGGACTATAGGCACCTGCCACAAGGTCCACCTAGTTTTTCTATTTTTAGTAGAGATGGGGTCTTGCTCTTGCTCAAGCTGGTCTCAAACTCCTGAGCTCAGGCAATAGACCTACCTTGGCCTACCAAAGTGCTAAGATCACAGTTCACACCTACTTTAGAATCAGGGCACTGTTGACCACACTCTGACAATGGGGGGTGGGTTGCTCAGTGTTTCCTATAGCATTGCTGAGCCTCAAGCAATGCTGGGCCCATCATCCTGGGGAGACAGGGATTGTGATTTGTCTCCTGGCTCCACATTCTGGGCCTGTGGGCCATCTGGGACTCTTCTCAGAAGAATGGACTGACATCAGTCCTGCCACAGCCAGTACCCCTGTCCCTTCTTGGGGGTGACAGGAGGTTGGTGTCATGTGTATTTGTGCTGAGCCCTTTCCTGAGGCTGCACTCTGAATAAGCTCCACTTTTCAGGGTCTGGAAAGGATTAAATGAGAATGAGCACAAAGCCCAAGCATATGACAAATGTCACTCAAGATTACTTGCATAGTTCACTTTGAATTTCTTCAAACTCACCTAAAACCAATGTTTATTGAACATGATTTGACTGTGACAGTGACTTTGCATTACCGCTTCCCAATCCATGCTCCTTTGGTGGGTTGTAAAAAATCTCTTTCCTGGCTCGGTGCCTGTAGCTCAGCAGCTAGGGTACGAGCTACATACACTGGAGCTGGAGGGTTTGAATCCAGCTCTGGCCTGCCAAACAACAATGAAAACTATAACAAAGAATAGCCGGGTGTTGTGGCAGACACCTGTAGTCCCAGCTACTCTGGAGGCTAAGGCAAGAGAATCGCTTAAGCCCAAGAGTTGGAGGTTGCTGTGAGCTGTCATGCCACAGCACTGTACTGAGGGTGACATAGTGAGACTCTATTCTATCTTTTTATAGAGACAGGGTTTTGCTCTTGCTTAGGCTGGTCTTGAACTCCTGAGCTCAAAGGGATCCTTCTCCCTTGGTCTCCCAGTGCTAGGATTATGGGTGAACCACCACCACGCCCGGCCAAACCTTTTTTTTTTAAACTTTTCTCTATGTTCCATAGTGATCATGTTTTCCTTCCATCTTTCCCTACTTCTTTCCTTTCTTATCATCCTAGATGCTTGGTGAATCATAAACGCTCAGGATATGTGAATAAAGTGAATTTGGGAAATGATCCTGGCTGTGAGGTCTCCAGTTAAAGTGTTTTGGTTGTAATTAGAATTGGGCCTTCTGTCTGCGACAACTTAGAGGAGTAAATAAAGTTCTTTAGGAGTCCACCCGTATGAGCTATAATGTATAGCTACTTGGAAAGAGTTTTTTTTTTTAATTAAATCATAGCTGTGTACATTAATGCAATCATGGGGTACAATGTGCTGGTTTTATATACAATTTGAAATATTTTCATCAAACTGATTAACATAGCTTTCATGACATTGTCTTAGTTATTGTGTTAAGACATTTATATTCTACACCTAGTAAACTGGAAAGAGTTTTTAACAGGCACCAGTGCTGAAGAGGTTTCAGACTTAAGAATCCATGAGGTCTGTGATCCAGCTGGCTGGGAAAAGGCTGTGTGATGGTTAATTTTATGTGGCAATGTGACTGAGCACCAGATACCTATATAGCTGGTTAAACATTTCTGTGTGTGTCTAAAGAGATCAGAATTTGAATTGGCAGTCTGAGCAAAGCAGATCTGGCCTCCCCAATGTGGTTGGCTTAACCCAATCTATTAAGGGCCTGGACAGAACAAAAAGGAGGAAGGTAGAATTGACAGTGCCTGAGCCTGGTGAGGTGGCTCACACCTGTGGCATAGCTCAGGCAGGAATATTGCCTGAACTCCTCCACTTCGGGCAGCACAGCAAGATCCCTCCTCTAAAAAAAAAATTAAATTAAATGACTTTTTGTTTGACCACTTGAGCTAAGACGTCAGTGCTTCTGGTTCCCCAGCCTTCAGACCTGGTCTGAAATCTGAATTTCTGGATTTTCTGTGTCTCTAGCTTGCGGATGATGCTGCTGGGACTTCTCAGCCTCCATAATTACATGACCCAATATCTTATAATAAATCCTTCCTATATGTAACAGTCTCCCCTTATCTGCAGGGGATATGTTCCAAGACCACTAGATGTCTGAGATAATACTTACCTCTACATATACTGTTTTACTTTATACACATGTATCTATGATATAGTTTAATTTATAAACTAGGCACAGTAAGAGATTAACAACTAAAAGTAGAATAATTATAACATGTAATAAAAGTTATGTCAAGGTGGTCTCTCTCAAAGTCTTACTGTGCTGTATTCACCCTTATTGTGATGACGTGAGATAGTCTAATGCATACATGATGAGATGAACCAAGGTGAACATGGGCATTGTGATAACAGTGTTGGACTCCTGACTCTGTATTTCTGAGTTTCTGTAACCATCTCTTTTTTTTTTTTTTTTGA